AGCTGAATTTGCACGTGGATAAACTAGAACCCCTGATCTATTTCCTCAACGTAGCGTTTTTCAATAAAGCAAGCAGAAATGCGAAACAAAGCTCGCAAATTGTCTTAATTTATCGTGCCGTAAACATCAACAAAATCGTTGTTATCTTGAAATAGCGATGAAATCTAAGCATGCATAGCCTAAAATATAACAGTTACGGTCTCCTGGTATACTTATGCACACAAATCGCACACAAGAACTGCAGGAATATTGAGAAATCTACATTATTCCTATCACTACAACGAAAATCTTCCCCTAGCGCCACCTAAACAGAAATAAGGAAAGCGCTGAATTTGAAGGTTTCCCGTCTCCCCGAATCCGGCGTGCGAAAACATTTTGCCTCAGGAGGAAACGTCTTTTCTAACTTCAAACCATGCACCGTCATCTGTAAGCCTTCCTCCCCTCAGAGTCTCATGAGGCTGCGCGGTACCGCGGGAGAGCGTGAAAACAGGTGGGCAGTATCCTCCGAGAGGATGGGGTGAGCGTCTTCACGGGAAAAGAAAGGCCGAATTCTTGGAAAGTCCCTCTTTTATGTGTGCACGTCTTTGTCGCCCTCCTCACCCCCCACGGACTATAGCGAAAAGCGAGGGCTGTGCGACGACAGTCAGAAGAAAGCAGAAAAACGAACGACAAACGAGCGATACGAGCGAACTGAGCAGACGTGCGTGGGTAAGGTATTTGTGAATATCTTTTTTTTTTTACCGTGAAATATACGAAGCTTCAGACGTGCTGCGCTTGTTGGTATGAACCTATCACAACAAACAGCACAAACACGAAACGAGGCACACCTACAGGAATGAGATGAAGTCTGTTTTGTACTTTCTGCGTGTTTATTTCATTTATTTACTCTGGGGAAAACTATGGTGCGGCAGGAGTTGAGGACGCGTGTTCGCTTTCCGCCTTTATATACGACAAGCGCACATTTCCATAGCGCCGAAATGCGCGAACACCAATGTTCTGGACTACCCCATGACGGCGCTTCTCATAATCACTGCAAACTCGCTCTAAGGGGACGCGGGCGCTTGCAAACTCTTTGCTCGCGGTCGGCTTTGAATATCCGTCATCGGTTTCAATAAACCACAAAACCGAGCAATATTTATTCCGTTGCTCACTGCATAAACTGGCTAAAATCATGCTACTGCCTGAAAATCTTGCAGATTTTTCAGCCAGTAACAACGAAGCGAAGTGGCATGAAATTTGCTGAATTCACGGCGTGGTGTAAGAAAGTACTTCGGCGTGGGGACAGCAATGAGGCACCAGGGCTCTTTTTTTCTGCTTTGAAGCACCCGCGACAAGTGAGGTCCTTCAGGGAGGCAGAAAGGCGGATAACTTTTGACTATGCTCCCACTGAGCAGGTCTGGTGGGGGAGCGGCAGTGGTGAAGCCCATATATATTTCCTATGCACTGAAGGTTTATGCCACTCAATCTAAGGATTGCAACGTCGAGTAGGGAACTTGTTGGTTTTCTTCAGTGCCAGTGTACAACACCATTCGACAAGGCACCTTGCCGACGCTTTCGCCTGAAGGAGAGAGAGAGAGAGAGAGAAAGGCAAAGGAAAGGCTTATATGCTACCCTACACGTGGAGGGGGAAGGGGAGAAAAAGAATAGAGAAAAATGTCAAGGGCATGCGGCACCTGCTGACAGTTCGTCATTGGAAAGTCTGCCGTGCAGAGAACTGTCAATGCGTCAAGATAACAACTACTTGACTCGTTAGCGTGAGTCATAAGGCTGACGAGTAGAAATAGCCGATCTTGGACTTACGCCTAGTAGCTCGAAAAGAACAGAAACGTTTCTGAAAAGGATAAGTTTATAAGAAAGTGTGGTGACATCGGTGTGCATAAAACACGTTTACATGAGTGCGAAACATGCGCCTCGCATTCATGCAAGCAATGGAAGGCGCATTGCACTAATGCGTAGAAAATGGGCAGTTTTGCAAGTGCCGGTCGATTCACGGGCCGTAAATCACGATGAGGGGAATGGTGGCCCCCCGTTGTGCGAACTTCGTGCGTTCCTCTTTCGCTATAAGGAATTAATATTAGCTCAAGAAAACAAAAACACTCGAGAAAGAAGTGGGACGAAGCAGAAATGTCGGGAGCTGAGATATTCCTGCCTTCTGCCACTCCTTTCTCAAGTCATTGTTATTTTGCTCGCGGCGTCGCGCTAATATGTACCTATTTATATAGTGGTTGATGACGCAGAAAACTGTGCGAATTTCTGTTTCCCATGCTCGAGGCACGACTAAGCTAATGAGTTATTTTTTTATTTCTCTTACATAAACCAACTCACCCAGCTACAAGTCGCTGTAATCCGATACTCGCTCGCTGTAATCCGACACCACATGGTAGCTGCGGCGTACAGAAGACGAGAGGTCCTGCAAACGGCGTCGCATCACCTTTCCGAAACGCGCTTGCAAAGTCGATGGGGTACTCTGGCATTCGTGTAAAATTGATTATAGCCTAACAGCTCGAGGCAACTGCCAGTCAGTCGGCTGCTAGCTGGGGCGACTAACTAACTTCATTCAACAAGAGGGCGGCACGCCGTCTCCACGGTTGTTGGGAGTTGGGTCCAGTTCGTCTTTCCTCGATAAGAAAGCACGTTTGCGTATAGCCGCGCGTCGACAGTTTGCCGTAAGCCAGCACGGCACGCACAGCGTTTATACGAATGCGACAACTGGCGCATCACGACCACGTAAACGGGGGTAATGCGCTAGAGAGACGTATCGCACAAATGTGCCAGGCAGGTCTGGATTTCGAGGGGTAAGTAGACCCAGAGTACTTTTCACGACAAAGGAACGCCGACCACTCGTCCTGTTGGCCTTGTGTGCACTTCTCGCACACTACAAGACAGCTGTGAGGAGAGAAAGCAAGAGCTTCTCGGGACTAAAGTCCGCTAAGTTTTTCTCTTTTACCTAAGTAACGACAACTGCCTCCTCTCCCGACCCTCTTTCACACACAGCTGGTGTCTGCCGCCATGTGCTTCCTAACTAGGCAGACTTCCAAAGCCACGTACGTATAAGTAAATTAGCCACGCGCCTATCAGTGAACAATGTGCGAACGCGACGCGCCTTTCTCCTCCAGCGAGTCCCCCGTCAATAGTGAGCGAGGAACGCGTTTTACCAGGTGCTTCCATGGGAAGAAGGGGTGCCCAAGGCGACACCACTAACACCTGAATAGTCTAGATGGCCTCGCAGGAGGGCTGGAGATGTGGAATAACAGCCACTCTGATAGCCTGAAGGTGCGAGGCAGCATGACGAGGGGGGAGGCGGAATGAGTGAGGATGAGGACGGACACAAAAATGCGTGCTCAGCACAGAAGGCGACAGTGCTGTAGTAGCGTGAGACACTAGAGATAGAATGCATTTCTGCCGAATCCACTGGTGTCCACTGCTCGCATAGAGGGCTTCTTTAGAGTTTGCTTAGCGTGCGCTGCGAGTGCTTGTGGGAGTACCTGCAGCACGAGTGCCTTGCCGGGCTTCACATGAGTCATGACAAATCATAAGGATAGAGCTTCACGGAAGAGGAAGAGAGCCGCCATCGCGACATGTCGAGCACGGGCAGCAGCTGCATTTTCACACCATTCAAGGTAAGACCATTTCGATTACTGTGGTTTCTTTTGATAATAAAAGCGCGCAGCTACAGCACCAAAAAGAAAAAAAACATTATAGAAGTCTATTCTTGATACGGTGGCGAGCTCGTTTTGTACCCCAGACGCAATGTGGGCTCCGTAAAGGAAGGAAGGAAGCAGAAGGCAAGTTGTCACGTTGTGGGCGACATTCTTTCTATGATCAGCTTTACATTGCCAGCTACACTGCTATACTTTACTCTATTTTATGTTGGCATGTTAGTTTTGGCGGCTATATATGTACAAAGATGATTCGTTAGAACTTCTGTTTTACGGCTTCAGGTGAACAAAACTGTCCAATGCTATAGCCCGTACTTTGTCGCTGCAGCGCCTTTAGGTGCGTGTACAGGACGCTGGACACGCAGTCACTCCTAGATAATGCGCGCCCGTGAGAAGAAAGTGCTGAGATCTACGGACGTGTGGAGTCTATAAAAAGCCTTGTTTCTTTGTGTATCTGAAATGTCGCTGCCGTGTATCAAAAGGCTAAGGGTAGGTGATTTTTAGCGCTGTGACGAGAGGTCTGGGCGAACCAGGACCTACAGCACGCTGTGTGTACGTCACAACGCTCCTGCTTGCGTGTTTATCTGCTTGGGCGCCTTTTATTTGTCGTGGCTTTGGGCTCCGTCTATCTTCCTGACCTGCACTTGTCCGATCGAACAGCATATTTGCGGGCGGAACATTGAGCAGTGGTGGCAAAGCCCGGCATTTTTGTCTGATGCTGCTTTTTTCGCAAGCACGCGGCGTGCTTGAGAGCTGAGCACTGTAACTGAGAAAGTGTTCTATAAAAGCTAGACTGTGCTCAAAGTAAAAAAAAAGATGCAAGATGCACCCAATCAAATGATTCTGTACACACGAGCGCTTATCCCACAGCGCACGGACACGCGCGCACACAGCGTGTCACATGCCCTATCCGCCCAACCATCCTCTCAAAACGCTATGACGCACTTGTCAATCCGTAATGGTTCATATTTTATCCCGGCCACCCTTTTCTACCGTAAATATGATTTTTTGGAAACAAAACTATTTATTGATATATTGATATATTGATTGATTGATTGATTGATTGATTAGGTTCAAGGAAGGCAGCACAAACACCTGTATCGTCTATCTTGCCTTTTATCGACATTCAACCAACCCATAGTAGACGACTGTCGGGAGAAATTCTTTTCAGTAACTATCCCGCCTGAGAAAAGGACTCGCCCTTTTATTTTGAGTTTTGCATCGGTCCCTCACCACACCAGCTTATTATTCATGCCAGCTTTGGAAGTGTAGTTGCTACGATCCCTGTATCTGGTGCTAGCTCACTAACCACATGATGTACTTTCCTGTAAAATTTTCAAGAAGGCGAATTCGCCGGAGAGCAACAGAGAGCAATGCCAAAGCGCCGCCTGTACGCCATGCTTGGACGACAGTGGTTTTGCCAGAGAGGATGACGCAACGTCTGAATACTGGGACAATTTCGGCATCGTCAAAGAGTCGCTGCCGGGCCTGAGTCTGGAGACAAGCGTCACAACTCAGCCAGAGGAGCCGATCATCACCGGAAGACGAGTTGTGTCGCTGGCCCATTTCGTGAACGCTGTTCGTAGTCTCGAGGACCACAGCTGTCCTAAGCTGACTGGACGTTTTGCACTCGTGAAAGAACGGAGAGTGGGGCTCTGGTCGGAGCTCACTTTTACCTGCAGTGAATGTCAGGAAATCAGAAAGTTGACGACTGACCCCGTCACAGAACCAACGTCCCTCACTGACAAAGCAAACGTAGGAGTCAATGATGCTGCTGTTTGGGCATTCATGAGTATCGGATCGGGCCACTCGCAGTTTGAGGAAGCAATGGCAGTCATGGAAATTCCTGCTATGAGCAAAGGGGCTTTTCTACGCCGGGAGGAGTCCCTGGGAAAGGTAAATAAGCTGATAACTATTTATTTTCTCTTTCTGAAGACGATGGAGGATGTACAGCGCTTTATTTTCAGTAAAATTCAAGTGAAGCGACAGTGGCACGTGCATGGCAAGCGTTTTGAACGGGAGTACGACACGATGAGAATTTCTCTGCAACATTTCGTCGTATACAATGAAACGATTGATCGTGAAATGTCAGGATTACAAGTGAGCCAGTTTTCGTCCTGTCTAGGAGCTCACTCACGCATTGACGCAATTACAAAGTGCGGCATCGCTATTGTGAAAACAATTTCGACGTTGTAATCTGCTGTAATTTTTGTTTTGTTGCAGTGCTGGAAAACCGTCCTTTTTGACCAAATGATAAAAGCCGGAAAAGAAGAAAAAAACTCGCGGAAGAAGCTGGGGCTTTCTGTGAGGATGGCATAACCCCCTATATTACAGTGATTGTCGATGGTGGGTGGTCACACCGCAGTCATGGACACCGGTATTCCGCCAACTCTGGTGTCGCTGTGATTATAGGAGAACGCACGAAGAAGCTCCTCTACCTAGGAGTACGAAACAAGCTGTGCAGTACCTGTGAGCACTATTCTAGGACGGGAAAGGGCAAGAAATATCATGTGTGCTACAAGAATTGGAACCAAAGCTCAGGGGCAATGGAGTCGGATATTATCGTTGAAGGCTTCCAGAGAAGCGTGGAAATGCATGGTGTGGAATACCGGATATTGATAGGGGACGGAGATTTGTCCGTTTTACATCAGATACTCACGAAAGTGGAGTACCGGTGCTTTGTAAAAAAGAGGGAATGTGCAAACCATGTTGTGAAATGTTGCACCACTCGGCTCTATGGCATAGCCAAAGAAACAAAGGGCAGTTCAGCTATCCTAAGTGGCCCTAGGATTAAGCGGTTAAAGAATGGTGCACGGAAGGCCATAAAGCACTACGCAAACATTCTTAGAGATGTACAGGGTACTGCACAAAAGCAGCGTGCCCAGAAAGCCGACCTTACGCGCTAGCTTGCGGGTGACCTCATAAATGGCCCAAAACATGTTTTTGGTTGCCACGACAGATGCAAAGACTACTTCTGTGATGGCACCAAAGGTGACAACATTTATGATGGCATGCCTAAGGTGCTACAAATGAAAATAGTTACCGCTGCCAATATAATTGCCGACAAAGCTGACCGTCTTGTGACAGATGATACAAGTAATCTTGCCGAGGCAGTCATGGCACTGGTAGCCAAACTATCTGGTGGTAAACAGATCAACAGATGTCAAAGGGGCTCTTATGAACACCGCTGTTATGGAGGTGGGCTCAGCTTTCAGCTGGGGCCACAGTGGCACTGCACCACATCCAAGGCTGTAACCTGCAAGAGCCCCGCAGCCGTCTTGAAGCGCTACACAAGCAAGAAGACGGCTCAGAAAGCAAACAAAGAGTCTCTCAGAAGAAAACTGTTCGAAGAAAATGGCCACCGGCAGCATAAGCGCAAGGAGTCTACGGTGAACGACTCAATGATTCATTATGGTCCGAATTGCCAGCAGCCAGACATGCCACCAGAGCAATATGCCGAGAAAGAACGGGCTGTTTTAGCAAGCCTGCAGGTGAATGAGAAACAGCAGATGGAAATCGAGAAGGCTACTCGAGGACAGGCTGATAATCCTACATGGCATTTTGAAAGAAACATGCGCCTAACGGCGTCGAATTTCTATGCAGTATGCCAAAGGAGGGAGTGGACACCGTGTGACACGCTCGTGAAGACCCTGCTCTATAAGAAAAATTTCACCAGTGCTGCTCTTGAGCATGGAAGACAACAGGAACGTGTTGCACTCCGGTTATACGAGCAAGAAATGGAAACTGCTGTGCAACCTTGCGGGTTATTTGTTTACCCAGAGTACGGATTCTTGGCGGCGTCACCAGACGGATCAATTGCGAGCGACGGTATCGTGGAGGTGAAGTGCCCATTCACTGCGAAGGACATGGAGCCATCCGAGGCAGCTAAAAAGTACAATCAAAGGAGCCAAGTACACGAGCCACCCAAATTGAGCTGCTCTCATAACTATTTCTACCAAGTGCAAGGCCAGCTGCATATCACTAAAAGAAGTTTCTGCCACTTCGTCGTCTGCACGTCGAAGGGCATCCACGTACAGCAGATCGAAATAGATAATGACTTTTGGAAATTCAGAATGCTTCCACAACTAATCAGAGTTTACAGAGACTGCATGTTACCTGAAATTGTAGATCCCCGTACTACGCACAGCATGCCCATACGCAGACCACAGTGGAATGTGAAAGCAATTGAGTCACACCAGCAGTCTAAACGAGCTTCGATGAAGAACAAGGAGGCAAAGCAGAGTGGCGACTCGGACATTTTCCACAGCCTTGAGTCGTAGGACTGCTGGGCGCGTGCACTGTCAAGAAATTCACCAATTGTGACGATGCTATCTAATGGTGATTTTGAGCGCACTTTCGTGTTGGAGCAACGCCAAGTGCGTCTGTAGTTTCGGCCATCTGCAGTTGTAGCTATTTACATATTCCCACGCAAATTGCCAGTGCTCGAGCGTTACGCATACCACTTTGTGCATTGCAGGCGTCGCGAACCAAGCGAAATGCCGAGAGCCCCGTTACGACAAGCGAAGCCAGCCGCAGTGCACGTGCCAGCCCCGCACGCGCGCGAGCTGCTACCGGGGAAGGGGGGGGGGGGGGCTAGCGAGCGTGACGGAGGAAGAAGGCGAGGTTAGAGGCCAGTCGCGAGTGACATCAGCAGACTCCGCGTTCGCTCTCTTTCGTCCTTGTTCGCTCTGTTAGTTACGCCGACGACGCCAACAGGCGCCGCCGCTCAACGCAGCAGTATGAGCTTAAGAGCTTCGCTCTAAAGAACTGCACATTAGGAGAACGACCTTGTATATATCGAATGGCAGATGCAGGCTCAGATTTGACGATAGCAAAGACTCTTTCTCGAACAAGCTATGAGGTAGCAATTCACTTCTTTTTGTCGGGTGTGTCATCAGCCATTCACGTGCGTTCTGCAGCAGCAATGACCGAGAGACATGGCCACAGAAGCGCCAATGAACTTTTGTAAAAAGTTCGTGTGTGATATAGGATAACGGAAAATAATAATAAAACATACACATTCATTCTCTGCTGTCACAAGTTCGCATCCGAAAGTCGTGATTATATGTACTTTTGCTTTGTGCGATTTCACATCTCTCTGAATGTATGCGTTGTAGTTCTGCGGGATTTTGTGTGTGTGTGATGTTCAGGTGTCTTCCTGGCTGTAACCAAGTGCTGCCGACGCTCGTTTCGTACTAAATAAATTGTCACAACAACGTGTATTGACTCAATCTTGCTTACTGCATGACAGCCCTTCATTGCATAGCATATACACAACACTAAGACTCGTTGCTTGAAGATATGTTAGCCGACATAGTTATTTGAATTGACCAATCATGCATCCAAAAGCCTTATCCAGTGCGACAAGACCTTTTCTTCAACTCCTTTGCAACTATTGTATTTGTGTACTCATGTTTTTGCCTTGCATGCGCTTTACGAACTCGAAATGGGTACGACATAGAAGTAATACAAGCAGCGGCTGTGTAGAAAGATGCATGGGAGATGCACTGTACCATAAGTCTTCCCCTCCCTTGTTGCACTCCTGGGAGGTTTGTGTGAATCCGCCCCAGTTTTTATCATGAGATGTTTATAGAGCTTGAGGTAACGGCCTCGAATCTACGAGCTTGCAGTCAATAACTGATTTGGGCGAAACGATCACTCTTCATGTTATTGCCACGACCTTTACAGAAAAAACAAAAATGATGTTGAAATAGCGTACGCGAATAGAGAAGTCGTTCCTTGGACAAAGGAATAACGCACCTGGACCATTCAGGCCACGCATGTGCGAGTCTCGCTCATATGACACACAAGAGGTAATTGCTTCATTTTCGTCATAAAAATAGTTTGTCGACTAGTCCGATGGTTTGCGTACGGCAACGTGATAAATAAACGCTACATCAACCAAAACATGAATTCATACTAGCCTGCTGAAGTTTCAATTCTAATGAAATAAATTACGCTACGTATAGAGGGGAAAACTAATGATTATGCAGTCGGCACGTGTTGGGCACCGTGAGTCACAGCGGCCGCACTTCTTAGCACGCGATTTGCCTAACTACCGTTTTTTTGTTTTTTTTTTATTTGGAAGCTTAGGTCATACTGGGAAGGAAGTATACATAGTCAAATATAATTTGCCTTCTCCTGTCCCACCGAACCGCATCATGCTCCAGCAACCCCAATTATTTGTAGAACGAACTGTTCCGTTGAACCTCGCATGAATACTCATAGTCCAAGTTTTGATCTCCATTTTATACATTGTTGTGACCTCCGGGATAGAGTTTTTCACTCAACCCCGCATTTCGGCACTGTATGGAACGTAGAGCAGCTGGGCAAGCAGGCTACGTAGCCTACATGAGGGATGTCTTGAAAAGCAGCGACCGCAGGGGTCAGGGACTAGTGAGCATGAAGAGAGATGGAGGTGTCGTTGAAGGGGAGAAAAAAAAGCCCCTGCTCAGTGCCTCATTTCTTCGAACCGTGTCAGCGCGATTTGCACCCCCTCGTCATGCAGTGTGGCGCGCCGGCACACGTGTGGCAGTTCACCTCCGAAATGTTGGCCTTCCAGTCCTGACTTGGTGGCGCCGTCTGGTATTTTTTCCAGAACTACTCGCAATATGGCGACAGTAGAACCGCCACCTTAAGCAGTTCAGAGGGACATCACCGCCAATACCGCTGATGTTCACATGACAGCCATAAATAAAAGTGCGCACTAACATAGTGCCAGTCGTTGTAGCCGTTACCTCAAGTGTTTTGTGCTGAAAAGGAGGTTGGTCGCGGTTCTTTGGCAAAGCGGCTTCTGCGAAGACAACAGCTTGTACCCCAAAACCTTCAACACAATGAGCTGCCCAGGTGGGTCTTGGAAGTTTAACACTTGCAGCTGAGGTTGACAGCCACGAAATCGAGAGACACTGCGTTGCATCCCCCGCACAGTCCGGCATTCCTTCATTCTTTCCGCTCCCTTGGCAGTAGGCCGTAGATTGCGATTCCTGAATTTGAAAAGAAACGAAAAAAAAACCAGACAAATATGTTTAATTAACGTACGTAACCGAACACATAAGCTAGGTGAATAGATGCAGCTACGTGTAAGTGAGCTAAGATGTACGATTTACGAAGTTGATACTAATTGAAATGTCGTCTTTTAGGGTAGAATGGTAACAGGATAGCATATTCTACTGGAAAGTACAAGCAGTGAACGTTTAGACATTTCAAATGGCATTTAATTTCTAGACCCGCTAAAACATAGAAGTAAATTAACAGCGTTGGTGAATATGAACGCCTGCATAACATGGTAAGTATTTGAACAATGGTCATAGATAAATGTACACTTTACTGAATAAACACTGAATACCTTTGCGCCATCCAAGCCAGGCTTCTCAGGATACGAAGAGCGCGATGGGTAGCTGTCACCGTCCTGGTTCTTTTCTGCAAGGGGTGCGTCTTCTCCGCTGGAATGCGCCTGGCATGGTGCAGAATCACAGCTGCTGACACGAAGTTTC